ATGCGCCTTCTAGTCTAATTGGCTTAGGACAACTGCCAGGATAGCAGGAGGTGTGAGTTCGATTCCCACGAAGGTCATCTTTTTCATCGTTCTGTCACATAACATCAGTGACACTGCTTGTCTCTTTCGTTCTATACATATGTAAGCTAACAATACTATCGTTATTTCGATTAATATGTCTCATCATTAGCAAAACGGGCTGTACGTTCTCTTGATGTTTCTTTGCTAGAGGCTACTTTCTCATATTCTCTCCATTTTTTTGTTTCTTCTTCGAAGTGTCGGTATTGATAATATAAATTTGCAATAAGAAAGACTTTATCTTTGTCAATATTTTCTGGTGGTGTGCTGTCACGGAATAATTGATTTGGATGTTTCAGTTTATGTGGATAGTACTTTATCGACTGTCTACTTGGTAAACATGGGTGACGAAAATTTCTTTTCTCAGTTTTTGTGGTTTACTATAAAGGGTTGTGTAGAATTGAGTTGTACTTGCCGTGTAGTTGTTATTGGTTGTTGTCGTTGTTGCTGTTGTGAACTAATCAAGTTATTGTTGTTAGTTGTTGCTGGGCAGTTGTTCTAGAAAGATAAGTTGCTTGTTGCAAGAACCATTGTCGTTGTACATTTTCAAATTTTTGTCGACCAGATGATAATGTTGGATGTAGACCATCTTGTATTTTTATATCTTCTACTCGTAATTGTGCATCAACGATATCAATATTTATTTTCTTCGATAATAGATGTAATCGATTGTTAAATTCTTGGTGAAGAGTTGGAAATTCGTTTCCTGTAAAGAATCGTGATGATTTCCATCGTTGAGATAGTGCCATCCATCCTATTTTTTGGATGCCAGGGAACTTTGAACGTGTATATTCGACAAGCCATTCACACCGTTTTAATTTTAGATCAATACCGAGTTGTGCTATGTCATTGGTTCCTAAAGAAAAAAGAACCACAGAATTACCATTTATCTTATTTTTACCTTCTATCGATAACATCCAATCAGCCATTTTTCCACAATTGTAACCTGATTTATCAGTAAGTTCAACATGAATTATATCTGGTGTAGTAATTTTGAATGTTCGAAATTTAGATGCTATTGAATCAGATAAGATGATTCCATGTACAAGTTTCTTTGATGTTGATATTCTTGTTGAAGGTGTTATTTTTAATTGATTCTTTGATTGATTTAAAACAGATACTTTGTCATATGAATGTGAACGAGAATGAGAACGAGAATAAGAGTTTTTTCGACGATAAAAATTATTTTTGTGAGAATATCTATTGATGTTGAAATGAGTATGACGAGTGGCATATAATTCATTTGTTTGATGAAGATGATTTGATCGAGATCTAGATCGAGATTGAGATTGAGATCGAGATCTAGATTGATGCGTTTTTCCGTTTTTATGGTATTGATGATGGTAAATGTTCTTCGATATTTGCTGCTGATGATTTTGATAAATTTGATGTGCTTGTTGTATTGAAACAGTCTTTTTTCTTGGTGGTTGTTTGAATAAGATACCATTCGGATTAATAGACATAAGGCTAATATATGATGGTGTATTTTTATTTTTGAATGTATATGAAGTAGATAATTTTGGTTGAACGTCGATTGAGTTTTTTGAACGATGATGAATATGTTGATTTGACTTGAGTAAAGGTTTTCCTGTAAAATTCGTATAACCAGACCATGTAGTTGTAGTGCCAGCTTGAAACTTATGAAGATAATTTTGCTTGTGTTGACCTGTTCCGTAGAGCGAAGGTTTTGTTGATTTATGATTAGGAATGTAAGGAGGACGAGTAGTAGACATGAAATGTGGTCAATTTGAAGTTGAGTAAGAAGATGATGAAGAATGATGAACAATAATAGAAGAAATAGTCGGTTCAATTCGTCAATTAATAAAAAAGGTGATTTTTGGACTAAGTATATTATTTAACAATTATTTTACTTTTGAATCGACAAATAGAATGAACTTTTTTGAAAAAATGAACGAGAAAAAATATTTTTCTATTATTTTTTAATGTAAATCGATTCGATTCGTCAATTAGGAATTAGTGAAGTTTGAACAGTTTATTCAATCTTAATTCTTTATAGATTCGAATCGATTGTTATTTAGTATTATATAAGTTTGTATATATGTATATATATATGGAATATTTTTTTTCTTTTGTTATTGAAGAATGTTCAGAAGTCAAGGAAAATACGTATAGAGTTAAATTTATTCGAATAAGAAATAAAGAAGAATGATTAGCAATGCGTTTTAAATGTTTTCTTCGTCAGGCTATGATTACTCGAAGTGGTATGCATTCTTTATATAGCTTTCAGTTTAATTAGCCTAATGATCATTCACGCTATTCATTAATGAATATTTCTTCATTCATTAATCATTCATATTTTTATTCCCAATAGACACTAATTAATATTAAATGAAGTATTCGTCTTTTCATATGCATCAGTGAGCTTTATCCTATTTTTTCTAGTGACTGATCTCGTTTTATGAATTACTTTTCTTAAGTAGCTCAGAAAAATAAAGAAAATTACGTCAACCATCATCATATGTCATCAATCTCAAATGTAAAGTAGTGAAATGATTTCGTTACTCTTCCAAATGTTCCAAATCTAATCTTGGCATTTAGTTCCAAAATATCAGACTGTTCAATAAAATTTTTCAGATATTGTACGGAAACAAAATTCACACCATTGAATAGACACCGAACATCTTTTTAATGAATCAGTTCGATTCGAAGCTTCTTTATTTGCATGATATTCGAACAAGAAACAATCTTTGTCCAGTTGAGTAGTCAGATGTGATATTCAACATTTCAAAGAAAATATTTGCTTTGGCTGACACGATTAACATAAACTTTGGTTCTTTTATATCCGTGACAATAATCATACTTGAATACGATACTATAGATTGTCAATATCTTTCAAAATCCTTAATTTCAATCTTTTCTTTCATTCTGTTTATTTTGATGATTTAGACAAATGAACTTCTTTGCCGAAAGATTGAGTTGATGTTTCTTTTGGACAATTGTTTGTTGAGTTGTAAGAAAAAGTAAGCATTATATAGGTTGGACTACTAGCAAAACTAAGAGATATATGAGAATGAACTAAATAATCCGATTTTGGACGTGTGAGAACTGGAATACAAGAGCATTCAGGTGAAAACACTGCGTTAAATGGGGATATTGGTTTAGATATTTAAAATTATGTAGGAAATAGGAGAGGATGGAAGTCTTCATCGAATTGTGTATAATTGAGTTCGTAACGAAACCAGCTTTCAAAATTTTTGTTGTTATGGATGAACTTTTTGGTTAGTGGGTGTATTTTGTGGAGAGTTATCAAGAAGTAAGAAAAAGTACTGTATATCAAAATTTGTTACTCTGCCTGTCATAATAAAGAAAAAAAGTGTTAGTATTGCCTATATAATGTATTTTTGGAAATAGACTGTATAGATTCTTCATTATGAAACATGCAAGAGTGTTATCTATATCGGATATTCGTAAAAGAAACATGGAAGGTCAGAGCATCAGGAAGTTTGAATGTTTTTATCACTGTTTTTTGACTTCTTTCTTACACTTTCAATCAATTCTTCCGTGTTGGTTGTTTTGACTGTTGTTTCCAAAGAGAAAATTGTGCTTCATTATGATGTAATATATGCATATACAATTGTCATAAATAAAATATACCTGCACTGCTGCAATTTGCATTAGGGTAGAACAATTCATGAAGCAATAGCACTCTAAAGTGCGATGTTTTTTCGCAGTGATGACACTTCACGTGGAGACTCAAGTTCGTATGTTTTCAATGCTAATTTTAGTTTTAGAAAATATTCCGGAAAAATAGTTAATCACCATGCTTTTCGTGTTTTTTTTCTAAAGCATAGTGTAGTATCAAGCAACAAATAATACTCTGAGATAATAGCATACTTCCGTATCAACTGACAGTGTATAATACCCGTATCAATATGGTATGCTGCCACATTATGCTATCAAATCGCATTTTGATTACTAAAAAAACTTTTTCTAGCAATTTTATCGAAATAAGAAAAGATATGACATCCCTAAGGATCAAAACTGGCTTGCCATTCAGAAATGCGAACAGTGATACATACCTGATAATTACATCGAAACTCAAACATTTTATTTCAGAAGTTTCAAAAGAAGTTGAACGGGATAAAGGATGAAAATACATAGTTTGGTCAAGATAGGGACTCATATGAAGCCATCAGTTAAAGTTTCTAATAAATTCAAACATATCTGATAATTTTATGCTAATTGAAAATTATATGAGGCCTTAAACCATGTCAAGAGTAATCTCTCACTCCAGTGGAACACTGCTAACTTGTTTGTTATCGCATCGTTATGACTTTTCAATTATTAAAAGATAAATATTCTCATACGAACAACATGATAACATACAACGACGCAAAAACAATACCAAAAACGACATGTCAGAATTGTTCATCAGCTAAAAGAAAAACCAATACATAAAACTACAGACACTTTCGCATCTCAATGACACATGAGTAGCAAAGGCTATCTAGAAGTTATACCACCGATTTCAGAATTGACCTCCACACAATCTTCTGCAAACTCGTATTTTTCTCGGCTACACAAGAAGCCACCGAAGAACATTATAAATCTTTTACCACAATAGAAAAAATAGAAAAGATGATAGAGAAAAAAAAGTGATCGACAAAAAAAAACAAAAAGAAAGAGAACAGAATAAAGTGAAAATATTTTTTCTTTTCGGATAAAGCAAGAAACTAAATCAGTGTCTCTTTCTATATCGTGAAAAAAGTCACACTTGAAACAGATACAAAAAAGAAAAGAATACAAGAAAAAAGAAACAGAAACTCACCTCTTAAATCATAACGTGGTCAAAGAAATGTTCCTTCATCCTATGCTAAGAAATACGTATGTTAATAAAAATGTTAATAAAAACCAGATACACATATCCAATTTTTCACTAGATTCCATCATTCACATACTAAATATATATATATCCTACACAGGTAGATAAACATGTATACTTTCCTACTACAAAAGTATAAAAAGTATGTCTCATATCACAAGACTCATTTAAAAATAACTCTTCCCATCTAGGATTTATAAACTATAACAAATACCTTTTTTTGGATAATAAAACATTTATTTTATCAAAATATTTATTCAACAACAACTCTTATCAAAAAGCATGCTTCTATTAACAAACTAAACAGATATATAGAGGAATACTGCTTTCTATATATCCGCTACAGACACATACATTTCATTACGTATAGTTGTTTTACCATAAATATATAGCAAAAAATGATTCCTTTTATTATATAAAAAATATACACCGTCTACATACTGAGAGATATTGTATATTTTTTTTCCTTTTTTTCTGACAAAAACAACCTATCTTCTATGTATAGGTATCGATATATATACACTTATTTTATTATGCATACCTTTTCTACGCATACATAAAAATAATGTTCCCTATTCTATAAAAAATAAATTTATTTGTACTATACATATATAAACAATAATTAAAAAATTATCACTCTTTTATATTTCTTTGTATCACCATATAAAAAATATTGTTCTAGATCTCTTATCACATAAAAAATGTTGTATACCTCTTACCATAAAAAATATTATTCAAAGTTACAAAAAAATTCGTTCTATAACTCTCATCATACAAAATATTGTATATTTCCTATTCTTCTATATCTCCTATCATAAAAAATATTATTGTATATTTCCTTATCCTTCGTATTCTTCCACACCTCCTATCATAATAAATATTCTTGTATATTTCTTAGTCTTCTTATTCTTCTATACTTCCTATCATAATAAATATTACTGCACATATCTAATCATACAAAATATTGTTGTATATATCTTATCATACGAAATATTGTTTTATATCTCTCATCATACAAAATATTGTCATATATCTCTTACCATAAAAAATATTGTTTTTCGATGCTTATTCTATATATGTCTTTTTCCATAACGAACATTTTTCTCAACTGTTAATTTTCTATTTTCTATTTCTACAAAAATTTCATTGGACTCTCTTGTACTCTCTATGGTCAATGTTCAATTCTTCTATATGTTCGATGTTCAATTCTTTTACATCTTAATTCTTATTTCTACAAAAATTGCATAGAATTCTCTTGTACTTTCTATACTCACCTATTCTAAATACTCAATCGTTCTATCATCTTAATTCTTACTATCGAACTCTAAGTGCACAATTCTTTTTTAAAATCTCCAAATGTTCGATTCCTTCATCATTTCGATTTTTACGTTCAATCTTTATTATCCTGATTTTTACTATCAATTTTTATCATCCCAATTCGTAATTCTTAAACATCAACCTTTAATTCTAAAAATACCAATTTTTTATTATTATCTCAATTCTCAATTTTTATTATCTCAATTCTCAAACATCAGTTCTTGATTCTTAATTATCACCAAAACAATTTTTTTATCATCTTAATTTTTACTCGCAAAAATTCTTAACACACAATCCAAATACATCACCACAAGTTTACTCGTGTCGTGTCGCATATACATATTATAATCCATATCATCTCTTCTCGTAAAATGATTATATAGTTTTTCTTCTGTCTTTCGCGACTCACTATTTTTTGCACTTTTTCTACCTTTCTGGTTTTCCTTCGTGACTCACTACTTTTTCTACGTTTCTCTCCTTTTCAATATTTTTCTCAATGTCTTTCTCATTTATCATATTTTTCACATATATCACTCACTGAAATATGTGTATAGCTTGACGAAGAAAACATTC